TTGAAGAAGTCTTTCAACTTGCGAGTCCGAAGTCATTTGTTTCAGATTGTGGCCTCCCCAGTCACACAGACCCAGAGAAAATTGCAATGGCAGATGTTCCACGGGTGCAGCAATCATTTTGGTAAGATCTAAAGTCCAAGGGAAAAAGGTCCTATTAGCTTCTTCCTTGCTCCTGGTAACGATGCCAGGAGCCCCTAATAGCGATGGCGATGCCCTTGTGAGTTTTACCAACCGAAGTCCCTCCAAGGTGTGCCGCTTCGACCTTTGCCAGCTTGGCCGCGGGAGCGGGGAAGGTGCCACTAAAACGAGGTCCTTCAAGACCAATGAACAATTCGGAGAAAGAGCTATTATCAGTGTCCTGGTCAGTCCTCTATTTTGGAGTTGCTGATAACAAGGCAGATTTGACCAGATTGTGATGGAACGGAGGAGATGGCTCACTTCGAGATTGGCGGCGCCGTGCAAGGAGTGGGAATGGCCAGAAAGATCCATGTTGAACGATGCGGAAACACAAAGTAGCGATGGCCTCCCTAGGAGCACTCTTTGGACAAGTGATCAAAGCACGAAGTGGTTTTGGGTCCGTCAGTGTGGGTCGATGGCACACCACGCCAGCCAAACGCCATCTAGGAGGGTGATGTGTTGGAGCTTCGGATGGAGAGCTTCACCAGCGCTGGACAGGCTGAAGTTGGCGAGACTGTCCTGGTAAGGAGGTGTTCTTGAAAGTTCTCGACTACACTTACCATTGCACTTGTTGAGGTGGTTACCATCGGAAGTGAAAAACCAACTCACACCAAGGACCAACAAGTTCGGGTTTTGACTTTGAAGATGACACCTGCACATCAAAAACAGTTTTTAATATTTGCGAGGTGCCACCCTGGACCCAAAGCCTCAACAAACTTGGAAGCACTCTTTGGAACCCTCAAAAAAATGTGCTTGATGGTTGCATTTTCTTACTCCCACAGGGCACCGTGTTTGCTCGTGCTGGAATCCTTAGGTTGGAATACGGAATACCTTCCACAAGCCTTCTACCAACAAGATTAAGGCCGCAAGTCTTCCCCTTAAGTACCCCTTGCTACAAACAAGAAGCTACTAGGAACAAGTGCATCGCTACTAGGAACAAGTACCTTACCAGTAGTAACAAGAAGCTATTAGAAACAAGAAGCTACTAGAAACAACTGCATCGCTACTAGGAACAAGTGCCTTTCTAGTAGTAACAATGTTTGCAAATTGAAACAAGAAGCTACTAGAAACAAGTGCATCGCTACTAGGAACAAGTGCCTGACTAGTAGTAACAAGAAGCTATTTTAAA